GCTCAGTGCGAGCCTTTCACGTTCACGCTGAGACGAGCGTGCAACATGTCGCGGTCGCACTCTGCCTCGTCAAGGTCCCGCCCTTGAGCAGCAGCCGCCACCTCGAGAGCCGAGCAAGGAGAAGAGAGAAGAGAGGAAAAGAGAGCCCGTCAAAAGGCTTCGCCACCGAGCCTTCGCTTTCCTTTATCGTTCCGTTCGCAATCCCCCCTCTCCCACCGCCTTGTTCTGCCTGCCTCGTGGCATCGCGACATTTTGGCTTCGGGCCCACCCGAGTCGCGAAGATCATCAAAGTGGCTACGAGGAAGCTCCGAGATGCTCCGAGGTTTCTTCGGGCCAAAGCTTGGCCTTTACTACAGTACACATTAACTCCCTGGCTGGCTGTTGCAACTTCATGCTTCCAAAATCTTCGCAATCCAAAAACCAAAGACCCGCCCTCAAACTCGCCCCAATGCATAACGTGCGACAATGTACCCACTCTGCCCGATTCTGCAAAACCATAGGAAACGTTGAAGCCAACGTCCGTCAGCTTCACAGACTCAGACGCGACTCATATCCCCAAACAAAGAATCCTTGCAACTGAACGTTGTGACACTGTCGGGCGACCCCATTTCTAGGTCCACAAAACGAAGCAATTCCGGCTTCGCCAGGACGGGCCTCCACAGTTGTAGTTCCACTTGGCCACGGCATGATAAAGGCGAGCACGCAGGGGCTTCAGGGCTTCAGACAAGCCCCGGTCTTTGCGCACTGCGCAATGCGCGCCAAGGTTGGGGCAGGTGCATAGCCGCGACGAGATCCAGGCTGTGGCTGTTGTCAAGGCTCAGATTTGTGGCCCCAAAAATGGGTCCGTCTTGCGGCCCCAAAAACAAGGCCGCAAAATCCATTCAGCTTTCCTTCATATAATTTAGAAACCAATGGGAAGGATGGAACCGCGACCCCAAAATTGGGGCCGCCATCGAGCCCCGCAGCGGGCAAAGCATGACGCCAATGGCTTGCGTTTGCCCGCCAAGAATGCTCTCGCACGCGCAGCTTCCATGCCTTCCGCTACGGGGAAATTCTGGAGGCCTTCAGCACTGCTGCGGTAGCCGTGGGAGAACACTGCACCACTGAGACTCTGCTTCAGGGCTATGAAACAAATACCGTGTCGATATCATGCGGACACACTCACTCGCGCATTAGGCAGAGCTTCTCAGTATGCTCTGCAACCCTATGAGAGCCCCAGCTTCGACAGGAAGTTGCTACAGACGTTCGGCCAGAAAACCCGGCAGCCTCCATGCTCGCGACTTGTCCTTCCAGGTCATGGACTCGACGAAGCAAGCCTGGCTCAACATTTGCGTGTCTGGTTTTTTTAGGCCTCTCCGCAATCTCCAGCCTGAATGATCCCCGTGTGAGAATGGAGAAGTCGATTGAGGCTGCGAGGGTTCAAAAGGAGGTGCAAGGATAAATCCAGCACCTGGGCTTCAGTTTCGGCACTTCAGCTACAGTCTCTTTCCACTTGTGTTAATTACCCCTGAACTGACTTACCCAGCAGATCCAAGAGCACTGAACTGACGTACCCAGTACATCCAAGAAGCCTCCACACGTAGGCACGCCACAGGGCAAGATCAATGCTGGACCTGTCACTTCCTGCGCGGCTGGGCAGACAGAGGCAGTGGTTCTTGATGGACTTGCGCAACGAACTCCAAGAAACATCCAAAATTTCGCCATGGACTTCCTGAAAATTGACACAGGGTGGCCATAGAAACGGAAGCTCGGGACACTTATCTTCGAGGTGGGCTACTGGCGGAAACGCGAAGTTTTTGAAAGGGCCTTCACGCAAGTTAGCAGAGCTTCACGGCTTGGCTCCAATCCGACATCAGCTCCACCAGCACGACGAGGTCGACGAGACTGTGCCGAAAAGTACCAGCTAACGCTGCAGAGTTTCGAGTGCGGCTGTGTCGCTGCAGGAATCAGGTGTTGCTACCACACTGACATAGTGCTTCCTGAAGCAGGTCGGCGTCTTTCACATCATCTCATCGCCGTCAATGCGCGTTGAAGCAACAAGAGAAGCGAAGTGCCGCCAATACACATCAGGGCTGGGACATGCTGGGACCGACTTCCATGATGCGCATCACGCTGTTTGCAGCGACCCTGCCCAGTTCACAAATGGGCTGCGACTCCGGCATTGAGTTGGGGGGGCGCCTGCTCCCATTGAACAATAAGCGTGCAGCAGACCTGCAAAGATGCCTGGTCCAGTTCTCACTCTTAACGTGGGCAAAGCAAGAACACCGATAACCACAGATGCGGCGGGCAGATGAAACACGACGATGAAAGGACAGAAAAACATAGAACAACCTAAAGCACCGTTCCGCACCTCGGCCCCCTTACATGAAGAATCGCAAGTCCATTCAGTTCTCCTGACGACTACCTCGCACTGTTCTGCTCAAGGCCTTCATGCACAGGTTGCTTCAACCCACAGGTTATCAAGCTTCACACAATGATCGGAACTGGGTCACAGGTCAATGGTCGGCAGATCCTGGAGCGAACGTTGCAGATGAAGAAGGTGAGCATCTGCCTCCATAGCTTCCATGCTGACGCAGTTGAATGTGTGGTGAATGGAGGTACTCGCGAGTACCACTACAAAGCTGAACCTCGGTTTCAGACTGTTCATTCACAACACCTCACCAAACGTCGGACATCTCAAACCCGGCATCCTGAAACCCCCAGCCTGCGCTTGCCATGGATTCGCGGGCCACACACCCTCGTCCTCATTGCCCTGCAACGGCAGACTCGGCAGACGAGAAGGTATCAACCGAGCTTGGCATCCCACATCCCCTACGCAGATGCTCTCTTTCCAGCAGGCCATACTGCAGAGACGTATAATGGCATCTTGGCTCTGATTCGATCAGAAGCAGGGCTTTGCCATGCACGAGCTGCCAAGCAGACTGCAAAATCTCCCAAGCAATTCCGCACATTGCGGGAGACTCTACCATGCCGCTGGGAAAGGGGCAGTGAAGCAACATGTCTCTTCCAGGGCCTGCTGTGGGTTCTCGCGTGTGATTCCCATCTGTATCATCGTGGAACAAGGCGCAACCTTTGAAGTCAAACTGCGAGCAGCAAGCAACTGACGATTGACATATCACAACATGGCCGCAGGATGACTTGATGGCTCCAAAAGCACAAAACCGAAGTCGCTTGTGCACTCGCAGCATTCCAGGGCTCAGGGTTCACAACCGTAGTTTCATAACCAAGGAACTTGGCAAGCGAACTAGTCTTAACTACCGTTCACGTCAGCAAACAAAGACCACTGTCTGCGAGCACACTGGAGTCAAGAGTTTCACTCTGGCTCCGATAAGAATTAAACCTTGCATTCCAAAATTTTTCTAACTACGCTGGAGCCTTCCGAAAGGCTGATTGCTCTGGAGACTCTTCAGCAAGGTACTTTATGTACCTTAACTTGTGCATGGCAGGGTGCCGCCGTCACCTCTATTCAACATCCTTGTATGGGTTGCGATTGTGGTCGGCAACTCCCAGCAGCACCATATGCGGCAGCAAGGAACACATGCCAGACACGCTGCCGGATAGAGAGCAGAAAATTGTCAGCACCAGCGAAACTAGGCACAGGATTGCACCTATCGGCTTCCAACAAGATTATGTGTCAAGACAGCACTTGAGTGGCTCAAACATGGAATGGCTGCTCAGTCACGCTCTCATCAACAAAGGAAACCTAAGTGTGCCCATTTCGCAGGTGAGTTCTGCTTGCACTTGCTCAACTGCTCCGTGCGAAAGCTCGGCTGTACTGCACCGAGTCGCATTGTCACCAAGGCGTCGAATGGAGCCGGTGGGGTTCCAGTAGACAGTGTTCGGAGACTGCAGGCAGAGCAAGGCGGGGCGATGACGGGACATGAAACTAGCCGAGCATGGTAAGTATGTGTGGCAAGAAGTCCCTCTTACTGACGGCTAGGCCAAGGCGCAAAGTACTTGCCCTTGGGGGCTTTGCATTCGTTGTTGGCCATGCCCTCAAGCTGCCCACGGTGACACAAGCTTCGATCTTCGGCCAATTGGACACTGAATGTCATCAGGGTGTTTGCTTCTGCCTACCAGACTTTACAAACCTGAGGACTCGGCACTGGCAAAGTTGGCAACTTTGTTGAGATCTGCGATGAGGCCTCGATAGACCGCGGCTTACCAACATCCTCTCCTGGTCAGATCCAAGGATGTGGCCGGCAACGTTTGCAGCGCAGGCAGGTGAGAACAGCTTGTACATCGTACACTTCGAAACCGCACCAGCAAGAAAGGACCTGATCAAGCACTGTGATCTCCACATTTCGGGCTACGATGGCTGTGAAGCATGGAACACCGCGAGATCCGACTCTTGACGTTTCACCCTTCCGGGACTGCCCGGCTGCGCCTGCTTCCGGAAGGGCTAAGCCTATCCATTAGAGCTCAGACACGCCATTGATGCGAAGGAGATCAATGCACCAGTGACACTCGCCGAGCATCCCTTGGAAGCACCACGTTTTCTTGCTACTGCCACTGGGAACAAATTCCGGCCATGTTGCACCCCTACTGCAACTTTCCACACTGCCTCCCTCTGACGGTAGTTAAGAAAGCTATCAGTAGGCAACCAGCATCGGAATGCAATAATGTCATGCTTGCATGCAAACAGGAGGGGCGCCGCCATCCTGGTGGGGATGACAGAGGTTCATCAGACAAGCAACAAAAGCAATTTTTTGAAAGGCAACACCGGAAGCATAATATGTACTTTTGACAAGTCACTCGTTGGTCCATCCGTGAATTTAGCGATGCAAAAGGCTTGTTACAACCGTTTTTTGCTTCCACAACGATCGTGGACCTCATCTGGAAGCTCAGGTTCACGGTAAGAATAACAACAAAGGCTTGAACAAAGGTTACAGCATCCGCCGGGTCTGAAAAAACGAAACATGGAGCAGAACCGTCAGACCTTGAAGTAAGCTGCAGGTCTCGCATTGATGGGTAGCCGGAAATAGGAGGCAATGCCGTATTCAAGTTGCTGAGAAGCACAGCCAAGCGACCGCCTTTGAGTTCCGCCCGGAGCAGTCCCCATTCGCCAAGGCATTCACGTTGAGACCCGCTCTACCGGCGAAGAATGCTGCCTCCAATCCGGGGCCGTCGAATTTGTGAATTCTGATGCCAATTGCAACTCCCGGCTCTGATGGTCAGGGTTCTCAAGTCTGGTTCCTGGTTGGGTGTTCGTCTAGTCGGACTGCACTGCCCAAGCAGGACATGAAACCCTGGACTAGAGAGATCATTCGGCAGAATGTCGCTGATGGGTAATTATCCATCCAACCTTTCACCACTCCTTGTCGGCGGGAGCTGTACGTCTGAGAAGTATATACTGTCTTCTTCTGTTTGTGCAACGCAGGCTTGACTGTCACGACCAGCCTGATCAGCGTTCAGGATGCAATTCGCCATTCCTGCATTCGGGCAAGCGCCAGCACGATCCGGCAACAAATGCAGCCTTCCATTAAAGGTGGAGGATAAAGGCCACTGAATCATTACAATGACCACGGCCCAGACCTGTCTCATCGTTCACGTTGACAGGGTTGAAGATGGTCGCACCATTGTCAATCTTTTCCTCATAGCCCACCAAGAACCCTAATACTTATGCCCATGACACTATGACACATCTGATGAGACAATGGCCAACTCTCCATGCAAGGTCGTGCCCTCACCTAACACATGTCTGAGTGACGGGCTGCATCGCAGGCTTGCGAAACGCCGGAGGAGTGGCCAACGAGGCCACCCCTCAGCCACGGCAGCTTCATGTGCTGACGGACAATCGCAACTGCTTGGCTCAGAACTCTCAGTACTCTGACTGCGATGACTGAGTGGTTGAGGACTCGGCAGGCCACTGATAAGAGTGGCAATCGGAGCCGCGCACCCAGCTCGCCTCTGTCCAACATATGCACATGATCATCTCTTTTCATGGATCGTCTGTGATCATTGGCCAAAAGCCTGAGATGTAGTTTGTGTCGTTTTGCGTGTGCATCACAAGAATGAGTGCTTGAATCCTCTTGGAAAGACCGAGCGGCCAGTCCACGTTGTCGGTGGGACAGTTCAACGCCAACTGCCATGGTGAGACTCTGGTGAGCATGCACTTAACATGACTTCCAAAAGGTGAAAGCAGAGAACCCATGCGATTTCACGCTTCAACAAACCGATGCCAACCTGTCAAGCAAGTGAAACACTGACACACGAAGAAGTGAAAGCATAGCTCTGCTCTTACCAAGAACGTCTGCTCAAGCTGTTGCTTTGGTGCCTCGGTGAGAAAGGCGGCGGTCCCGGACAGCGTTGCCAAAGTGTTGCCGATGTTCGCTACGCAAGCCTTCGAAAGGTGCGAAGGCGACCGCGGATGATAAGCCTCTCTACTATAAGCCTAGAAGTCCTAGAAGCGCTTGAAAATGTCATTCGACTCCAAAGCGCACAACTCAGCCTCTGTCTTCTCCTTCATGCCCTTAGCGTCAGGTACAGACGTCCTCGAAAGTGAATGCTGCGTCTTGTTCACTGGTGATGCGAGCTACGACATTTGTTGCTGTTTCTTCCGGCCAGACGTGGACCGGCTGAGCAGTTGTGAGTAAACGCTGAAGACTTGCTGCAGCTCAGCAGATTTCCCTAAACTGAGTTTGTTCAGCGGCTTACCCAGTCCGCTCTCGCTGGGACCTTCCCCGAACTTCGTCTCAGTCTCGAAATGCACGTCGTCGAGGCGTAATACGTTTTTCTGTCGTATTGAAACATTCCAGAGCTCCGTCAGAGCAAAGTCCCCCACTTCAGGAACCTAGACAGCAGATCACGGCAGAGCAAAAGAGTGCTTTGAGCTCTTGGCCTCAACAAGTATGTTCACACGTGCCTCGCCCGTCTTTACTTGTAATCCTGTGGCTTCTGCCCGATGTAGACTCGAGCTTCTGCCCCCATTCGAACCTCTTGCCCGGTTAGGTTCTCCCACAGCGCTCTGATCTCTCATGCACCGGTCGTCTCGCTTCTCGCGTCTCGCTGGTGAATTTGGGGTCTCTCCCGGTTATGTGTGATCTTCGGCCGCCTGCCTTGGCTGTGCCTGCTCACGCCTGATCCGTAATCCCTTCCCCACCTCACAAGACACTGCAAGATTCACCTGTGGACAAGAAATGAAACCTTGGGCTCCGCAAGGACGTACGTCTTCACCCGCACCCCAGTATCCAGCCAGCACATCCGAGGCGAAAGGCTATAGTACTATAGTACTGCGACTCTTGCTTTCCCGAGCGGCACCCCAACCACAGGTGGCCACGGCTCCGTTGATGGACATGCCAGCCTCGATGTGGGGTGCGCGGCATCAACTGAATCTCGCGCAAGCATTGCATGATGAAGCCACCGTGCCACAGTCAAAGCTCCAAGATGAATCCTACCATGCGCATTTGCTGCTGTAAGTGCCCACAACGAAAGCACCAGCCAGTAAGGTGGCAAGTGCAGTGCTGTCGGTTTCACTGAGCAGAAGACTGATGCCAGTTGATGAGTGGCCAAGAGGGAGCTGAAGACGCACATGGCAATGTCCGCCTGAGCGAGCAGTGCAGCTCAGTTCACGCTCACAGTTTCGCCTCGTACTTCGAACCGCACCTTTCTGGAATCGCCCATGACGACAACCTGCTGGATGACTTAGGGAAACCGAAGAAACTTCGATGTATAACATCCGCCGAGGCCACAGGCCTCAGGCGTCTTAGAGGTTAACTCATTACCCTCTACCATCCTCTACCTAATCCTCCGCAAATTGAGTGACACCCGCTTTTGCCCTCCCCCCCTCGCAATCGGCTGTTTTCCCTGGCCCTTCCGCGATCATACCAACTTCCGAGGGCTGTTTTCCTTGATTGGGGCTGGATATTGGCCCCTAGGGTCAAGCAAAAAAGCCCGGCGAAGACGACCCCAAATCTTCACAAAAGTGAGGCTTCCGTTTCCCGGGAGCT